CACCTGTGGACATGTTCCTATCATTGCGTGATGCAGACTGAAATTTACTTGTTTGTTTATGAAATTCAGGCACTATAGCAAACATGTATATCCAAAACGATCTTGATTGAGCCACGCATATGTTTTGGCATCCCCACAATGAGTATTTCTACAAAGAAGTTTCACAAATCAAGTGATCTGGATTCTGCTTCTTGAATTCAGAAGTAGTGAGACGTATTTTCATGGCAGCAACTGAGCTTTCCAGGTAACCCGAATCCACTCGTTAATCCAAGACACCTTTTGGGCGTAATATCCTGTTAGATTACTTGACCAAGTTGTGCGAACAAAGGATCTGAACGATATTTTTCTGGGGTTAAATGTTACATGGACACCAATGTGACGGTGCTTTGTCTACCTATCTTTTTAACCGAGGCAAGCAAGCAGCTGCAGTAGGGTAAGGTTAGCTTATAAATATCTGAAGGAAGGGTCATAAAATTAATAGAATGAGCTCATCTCATAAAGGAACAACTGACCATCATCACCGCTGATATGTATTATTCTCTTGTGAATGCGTGTTATCTCAAAAACTGCCTTTTCCAAAACTTTTGATTTTGTGTTATCTTTGGTCCGCATCCATTATCGTGGCCACCTAACCCTGGATTCCTTGGTATCTCTCAAATTAGAAGGACTAGGTCTATATAATTTCTGGACCCCTAAATGTCGGCAGATTTCACCTGCATGGTTTTATTCCCCTATTCCAAGTTGGAGGGATTGCGGAACAAACAGATTATCGAATGTTTCAGCACTATATATACACAGTAAACTGTTCAATGTGGTGTATTCAAGTCAACCGATCTAAAAGCTTTGCAATCTTCATGACAAACTAAAAGTTCTTTGATTTACGATAGTTTACATAAAGAGTGCACCGCTCCCGGAATGAATCATGATAATTTTCAAAAGAATGTTTTTATAAAAAAAAAACAGATCACAGGTAGATTGATCTTGCAAGAGAAAGGATGCCATTCACTTG